CTTTGTAAAACAGTTATTTCAATTCTGCCAGACAAATATTAAATGTGAAGGAATAAACTCCACATTAAACATTTTAGTGTACATTTTTTCACATACTCAACAGTTATTACAGCCATCTGTCCTTATCCTCAAATGTTTGGACTGTAAGTCTGTCCAGTCGCCACAGCTGCACTCCAGCAACTATTGGTCTGGATGTGTATAGTGCACAGAAACGTCATGGAAGACACAGTAATACAGCAACAACAAAAAAAAAACCCAAAACAAAACAAAAAGCAATAGATCCGTACCTCCAGTGGACAAAAAAAATAGTAGCTATTTCTAGTACATTGTATTTACTGTGCATACTATTCATATTAAATAGAATGTGTGACACTGTACTATATATTAAAAGCCAATGTAAATGAATGAATGAAAGAATGTCTTAAGCTATGAATACAAAGCTGTCAGGTCTGTAGCAATTTGAAAACAAACTGGAAGCCAGTGAGGACAGGCCAGAACTGGGCTATATGGTCTAATTTACTTATACTTATGATGAAATGAGCTTATACATTCTGACTTAACAGTCGTGGTAAGTTCTGTGTCGTAGAATGGGGTGTGATCGCAAACTCTTCTGCAGATCTGCAATCTGACTGCTCATGAGAACTGCATGTAACAGCACAGTGTAAGCTTGATACATGCATTCAAGTAGGGAACATGAACTAGCTATTCCATTTCTACTGTTTATTCGGTATACATACAAGATGTATAATAATTTCACTTTAGGTCTCTGGGTGTTTACCGGCCCTTAGTAAACATATTGCCAATAATTTTTCCAACAATCCCTTAGAGGTAAACAGCTCCAATGACAGGGTGGCAATCCAATCGATCTCAAATCCATCCAATAGGCTTCACAGGTTTGACAGGAATGATGGCTAGCTGTAGTCTGGAGGTCTGTATATAACTGCACTTGCTGGGACTTCAACCTTCAAAGCTATGAACTCAAGGTCAGTTACATTATAGATGTAGCTATTTCAGGTATCAAAATGTTCAGCTCTTCAAGGACATTCATGCTTCTATTCAGAATCTTTCTGAAATTAATAATTTTGCAATATGTAGCTTTATTTTGACAGTTTTGCACCATTCAAATGAATGAAAAAAATTCTCCTTCAGCATGCTTTCAGCTAGCAAACCCATTGAGGTGTCAAAGTCTTCGGCATATTCAGGGCGATCTTTCAGCAATTCGCATCCACACACGCATTTTCGACAGGAAATGCAGTTTTCTAGTTTATTATTATTCTGGGATCTTCCACCCTTTTTTTTGGCACTTTATAAGTCCAGCATACTTTCAGCTATACAGGCCACTGAAGTCTTGATCTGTTCAACTCTTCAAGTACATCCCTGCTTGTACACACCTTTTTTATAACATTTATACTTTTTAATCTATTCAGCTTTATATTTTGCAATACAAGTCAATGGGAGCTCAAAGTGCTCAGCTATTTCAAAATGTTCAGCTCTTCAAGTACATTCATGCTTCTCTTCAGAATTTTTCTAAACTTCTTGCCTTTGTAACTCTTCAAGTACATCCCTGCTTGTACACACCTTTTTTATAACATTTATACTTTTTAATCTATTCAGCTTTATATTTTGCAATACAAGTCAATGGGAGCTCAAAGTGCTCAGCTATTTCAAAATGTTCAGCTCTTCAAGTACATTCATGCTTCTCTTCAGAATTTTTCTAAACTTCTTGCCTTTGTACTATTTAGCTTTATTTTGAAAATCTTGCCCCATTCAAACGAATGGCAAAATTCTACTTCCGCATACTTTCAGCTCCTCAAGGACATTCATGCTGCTGTTCAGAAATTTTCTTAACTTCATACTTTAGAAATATTCATCTTTATTTTGAAAATTCTCCCTAATTCAAATGAATGGGAAAATTCTACTTCAGCATACCTTCACCTATTTCAGGTATAAAAATGTTCAACTTTTCAAGGACATTCATGCTTCTATTAACAATTTTTCAAAACATCCTGCTTTTAAAATATTTACGTTTGTTCTGAAAATTTGCCCCTTTGAAATGAATGGGGAAATTCTACTTTCAGGTATTTCAGGTATCAAAATGTTCAAGTCTCCCAGGGCATTCATTCTTCGACTCAAAATTTTTATACACTTCACACTTTTGAAATATTTAGCTTTATTTTGAAAATTTCCCCCATTCAAATTAATGGGAAAATTGTACGTCAACATACTTTCAGGTAGATATACCTTTCAGGTGTCAAAATGTTCAGCATTTTATTAATAAGTTCAGCATACCTTCAGCTAGCAAAGCCATTCAAGTATCAAAATGTTTAGCTCTTCAAGACCATTCCTACTTTATTGCATCTGATCCTTCAGATTATTCAACAAAGAACGTCAGCCATTTCTTCTCATCTTTCAGCTGTTTCAGCAATTGATTTCAGGCATTTTCAGAACAATCTTTCAGCTTATCAGCATCCACATGCATTTACGACAGGAAATGCATTTCTCTAGTTACAAAATGCAAGCCTCAAGGTGGTTCAAATTTTAATGAACAACATTTGTAATGATGGTTTTATAGAAATTAACACTGACACAAACACCGAGTACAATTCAGAGCGTTACTGGTAGGAGTAATATGTCAAAAATCAATTAGGGATGCAAGCTGCCCAAACAGAACGTGGTGAGCAACACAGGGAAAACCAAACAGAATTGGTGGAAAGTTCTGAAAAAAAAAACAAGTCAGTTCATCATATTCATTCACCTCCTCTAATGTTGCTATTTGTTTTTGCTGTGCAAAAACAGTTGCTCTAAGAATAATTTCCTGACAGAAATGTTCTTCCCTATCTGCCCTCTAGTGATTGTATTTCATAATCCTCCAGGCAGATACATTATGCAAGAAAAGTTTTAGCACAAATTCCTTCAGAATGCTGTCACTTAGTTATGCATACATGAGGTGTAAATGCACGGTCTCTTCATTTATGAAAAGTGCTAGGACTTGAAGACAGAATGATTTGGTAATGCAATTACAAATGAAATATCTGACATACTGAGCCACACAGAGTCAATTCTGTTTAAGGCTTTTAGTAATTTACACTTGTGTCTCACTAACTGCACCTTATTAATACACCACTGCTATAGTGTTGCTTTCGTCAATGAAAATTATGACTAAATATCATCAACGAACCTTTATCACATGACGAAACCAAGATGAGATGCATTGAAAATGCTGGTCATGACTATAATTAACTGTATAATGCACTATTGCTGATGAAAAAACCGAGACTAAATGTGATTTACAAAATAAAAACTATGCTAAAATGTCTTCATTTTCGTTGACCAAAACGAGATGAAACAAAATGTCATAATGTTATTTCATCTCCATTAGTCACGTTATTATTATTATTTTGCAGTATTTGTTTCCTGTGTCTCACTTCAGGGGGTGCATCAGCTCGCACTGCGCAGACACAGGTGACATCACTTCCTTAAGCCCCACTCGCGGCATTATTTAGAATAAACAAAGCTGTCTGACACAGAGAAAGGGACCGATGGCCGGCCAGCCAGCCAGCCAGGGTTCGTCTTTGGGAGAAAAAGCAGAAACGACATTTGGAGTGGGGGCTTAAGGAAGTGACGTACCTGATGCGCCCTCTGAAGCGAGACACAGGAAACAGAAATACTGCAAAATAATAATAATAATAACGCGACTAAACGAGATGAAATAACGTTATAACATTTCGTTTCATCTCGTTTTGGTCAACGAAAATGAGACATTTTAGTATAGTTTTTATTTTGTAAACCACATTTAGTCTCGGTTTTCTTTGTCAACAATATTGCATTATACATTTAATTCCATTTATGTGAGTTTGGGAGGATGTGCAGCTTTGAGGCAGGATGATGAACACTCAGGGCTTGTTTGCCAGTCAATTTGTGGGTTGTGAGAGTATAGCCAGGAATGTCCTAATACAATGGGTGTCTGGGGAGTCTTTAGAATCTTGAACTGGGTGATCTCATGATGGTTGCCAGCGATGACCAGTGGTATGGGAGGAGTCTGGTGTGTAACATAAGCTAGAAGGGCTGTGGAGTTAGCTTTAGCCGCTTGACAAGGTCGGGGTCGATCAGGTTCTCCCCTGCTTCTGAGTCCACAAGTGCTGTTAGTGAAACCGGACCCCCGACGGTATCCAGTGTGACTGGGATCTCCAAACTTGTTGTTTTACGTGGGAGCATGGTTTTGGCATAGTTGGAGTCTCCTGCTCTCTCTCTCTGACATTCATTATCGATTCTTATGGCGAGATTTGCCAATGAGTTGAAATTAGTCATCTCATCTCTGGTGGCTAGTTCATCTTTGACGTTACCCTTCAGACCATTCCAAACGGCGCCTTGGAGAGCCTGGTCGCCACACCGCGCTTCTGCTGGCAGGACCCGAAATTCAACTGTATATTCAGTGACACTACAGGACTCTTGGGGAATGGTTAGTAGCCGTCTGACCGCACTGCCCTGGTGGTCGGGGTGATTAAAAACAGTTTGTAATTCCTGGAAGAACTCATCACTAGTTGCTCCAATGAAATGTCCCTAGGCGTCCATGGACTCTGCCCAAGTCAAAGCCCTATCCCGGAGCCTGTTGATCACAAAGTTAATTTTGGTGCGGTCAGAACAAAAGGACCGGGGCTGCTGGACTCAGCGACACTGCAGAAGGAACCCCCGTCATTTCTCCATGTCCCCAAAAACGGTTCAGGATCTGGTATGGGGGCCTCCTGAACTGGGCTAGGCTGATTATAGGAAGTGGGATGTAGAGCACTGACTTGGGTGAGTGAGACTGAAAGCTGGGTTACCTGCTGGGTGAGAGTCTTGATGACCTCCACCTGTTGCTGGAGTACCTGCCCCAGATGGTCTATTTGTGCTCCATACTGGGCAAGGGTGGGGTGCACCGGTGGGTTACCTGGACCGGAACCTGTTGGATCCATTGTATAGCCGGTTCGTTCTGTTATGATCACTCTTGCCGGGTGGCGAGAGAGAGGGAGAAAGGAGTGGATCCAGATACAGAGTAGCAGCAGGTAACAGTGCTTGGTTTATTTTCACACACAACAGTAGATGAGGTGGAGATGAAGTGAGGTTATTCAGTAGAGCAGGGAGACTGGAGGGACCTGAAGGGGATCTCCAGGCAGGGTGGCAGCGTGGCTGGCTGGGACTCATCTCCCAGTGAGGTAGCAGTGGAGTGGGGACCGGGTGGTCTGGCTGACAGGGGGATGTTGGCAGGTTCTGAGGTGAGAGGAAGAAGAGACGAGAAATGGAATGGTGACAGTGGACTGCGTACTGAGACTCACAGAGAGAAGAGGCTCTGCCCGGAGATCCCCTAGCGAATGAGGCTGGAGCTGTGGTAGTCAGGCCATTGAGAGTAGTTGAATGTGCAAAGCTGTACAGGGCCAGGAATGGGCAGCACTGGGCTGTGAGGAGGTGGGGCAGTAACCTAGTTGAGGCGGCTGGAGGTGCGGGCAGCGAGGTAGCCACAGAGGGGAGCGCTGGGAACCTTCCCAGGAGAGTGCTCTGAGTAGCCGCAGAGATGAGTGCTGAGCGCTAGTATTAGCCTAGGAGGGAAACGCTGAGATGCAGTGCTGGTAGTTGCCACAGAGGTGAGTGCTGAGAGGATCCTCAGGAACGTGTTGATGACACTGGTCTGCAGACGAAAAGATGAAAATAAGGACTAATAAATAGTCTTACTTGAGCTAATTGTGAAGGTTGAGGGAATAACAGTCTTCCGACGAGATGAAGCCAAACAATCGTGGCAGCATTAACAATGAACTGGCGCTGCACGAGCGTCTGACTGGTTCGTATGTAGTCACCGGTGCTCATTAAGGAATGCGCTGCAGCTGTGTGTGCACTGGGGAGACTGGACCTGCAAATAGTGTAAGAGAAAGGGAAGGGAGAGCGAGAGAGGCAGGTGGCAGCAAGCAACCCCGACACACCCAGCACAGGGAGAGGCCCCTATGACATATTGTATATTACTGTAGCACACAGGCTGCTGTATCTCCACATAATTTATTTGAATATCATATTAGCGCAGAAAATTACAAACATTACAAAAATGAACAATACATATTCTAGATATCATTTGACAAGATAAAAAATAAAATGACTAAAAATTCTCTGTAAAGGTGCATTAAGGTTTTGTCAGTAAATTCGCATCCCCCCAGCATGGACCAGACACCCAATACTGGCATGGATTACCCTAGAGCAGACTTCCTTGTCCCACATTCTCCTATCTCCCCAGCAAAAGCTATTACCTTCTTCTACATAATAACAAACAAACAAGTGACAGACCAAACAGTGGGGATATTCACTTGCTCAGTATTTAATGAGGGCAATATAAGCATGGCAATATAGGCAAAACAGGAAGCCAAAGTTAAGAGTCAGTCATATTGGTGACACGAGGTCAAGGGTGCCAAAGTGCATTATGGGATGCTGTAGTGGCCAGTGCAGGGCTGGGATTGGCTAAAAAGGTAGAAATGACTTTCTGCCTCTGCAGCTATGTTTGTTTGCCGTTGTCAGGGGAGGCTTGGCAAAACACAACACACATACACAGATTCAAAAAGATCAGCCAAATGCTATCAATAAAGCTGAATGTTTGCCTCAGTTTGCAGAGCTGGGAGGATCGCAGGCACAACATTGGCATAGTGCAGTACAAACACAGTGAAATGCCATCAGCAGCTCATGGCTCGCAGCCTGCTGGGTTTCAGCTATGACATGTTCAGCCGTTAGCTGCTCTAAATGAAGTCAATGAGACACAGATGGCATCCATTTAATCCTCTCCATGTAAGATTGTCTTAACAAAGCCTCCCTCTCAGTGACATCATCTCACATAAGGGGACATCTCACACATGTCATGTGTCATTGTCGAATGACAATGACACATGACAGTGGATGATCTTCACAATCGCCACAATGGTCCCTCATCATTTTCACAGTAGATAAAATGATGGATGCACTGGTGGTTGTAAAACAATGTTCCTATTCAGCTGATCAGCCTGTAATGCTGAATCCTGTGGCCACACTGAGACAACATGAGCCACACACTTATAGAGGCTCAGAAGCAATGTTTTAACCAAACATTGTCATTCATCTACATATATGGTGCTTTTTAAATGGAGTCAGGTGTCTTTGCTACAGGATAGGATGGCAGAGAACCACAAGTCTCCTTCTTATAGAATGCAAACAGCTGGGCCACAGGACTAATGTATGCACAACAAACTACACATGCAGGGTGATGTCATTCTTACAGGCACTTCAGAGGGTTGTTGTGTGGAACAAGGATGGTTGCCATATACAAGAGAGCCATCTGTGTGAACACTTTTTATAATCTCAAAAGGAGTGCTCCACAGCTCTAATAATTTACTCATATGTACTTATTTGCAGTTATTGAGGAATTGGCAGGTAGCCATTTGTGTCACTTGAGCAAAATTTTCTTTTGTCTGAAGGGCAATGTCCTGGCTTCAGTTTTCACTAGAGTACTTTTAATCACCACTCTTGGAACTTTAGTTATCTTGTTTATTTACTGGTGTGTCTCCCAAGGGTGACAAGTACGTGACATCATCAGTTGCAGATGTCAGTCGTAAATACTAAATATATTTTAAAAATTCTTTATGGAAAAGACTGGCAGGGACTTGTTCTTAAAACTTATAATCTTTTCTTGGCACATACTACATACATCATGTTAATGACGAATGTTCCACACAAACTGAAGTTACTCACAGCATTCCACAGGGCTCTGTATTAGGTCCAATTCGCTTCATTTTATACATGCTTCCTTTAGGCAATATTATCAGGAAGCACAACATAAATTTCCATTGCTATGCAGATGATACTCAGTTATATTTATCTATGAAGCCAAATGAATCAGATCAGCTGGTCAAACTTCAAGCATGTCTTAAAGACATAAGGGCCTGGATGACCTGCAACTTCTTACTTCTAAACTCTGACAAAACTGAAGTTATTGTGCTTGGGCCTGAAAACCTTAGAAATCTGCTGT